GTCTCAAAACTTTTGTCTCCCGTCCTCCCAACCTATAAATTCAGCTGAATTCGGACTTATATACATAATAGCAACTTTATATCACAAACAGGTCTTTGATATGTCAACAACTGTGATGTCACAATTTCATGACTAATATATTAAAATATGTATCAGGAGGAGGAAGAAAGGATGATTTCATAAGATAACAATGTGAGGAAGTAAGCCACAACTACAGGGTGTATGGGAGTTGTTTTTGTTTTTTTTTGCTTTGTGGTGTTTTAAATGTTTGGTTTCATCTGAATGCCTGCTCTAACTAAATAATTAAGCAACTAAAAAGAAAATCACAATTTATTTTCTTTTAATGACATTCTTCACTGTGAAATTTCCAAACTGTGAACTCTACCAGCCAGTTTAAAGAAAGGTAATATGATTTGATTGTACTGGTTTTACAAAGAACAGCTCACTACTCAAAACAACTTCTCCAATCACCTTTATAACATCACTTGCTGAGGCAGGTAAGAACTTGGATTTTGCACACAGAACATAATGTTCATGGAAAATATCACCTCTCACAGTAGAGACAAATATATAGTGCTGGGTGAATTTAATCTCCTAAAATACACAACATTTCCAGAACTACAAAGGAGTACAGAAACACGCCAAGTCCTTGGTATAGTTCTCTGAATATTCACAGTAAAGCAATTGATTGGACTTTAAACTGCCAGCAAATATAAGTCATCTGCCCACGGCAAGTTGTAGAGAGTGGAGAACCATTAAAGCTTAGACTTATTTACCTTTCATTTTGTTTTATTTTAAACATTTTCGAGTTATAAAACTTTATAATGAAATAGGAACTTCAGCATCAAAGGAGGAGGGAAGCTGTTTTTTTACATTGGCATTTCATGAAGGAGGAAGATATAAAATATAAATCAAATTACTTATTTTGTATATTTGCTACATAGAACATGGGAGCCTGTTCACTTGGCCACAACAGATTATTTTCTAAACTAGGTATACTAAACTAACACAGACATCAAAAACATTCAGATAAATGGAACTTGCACAAACAGGTAAGAAATCCAATGACCACACATTCACAGCTTAGAGATAGCTGCATTTTGATCAAACAGGAATGTCAGTTAACTAGGATAAAAATTAAATAGGCTTAATAGTGATAAGTAAACATTTATAAGAAAATATATTTCTTATTATAAGCAGGATTAACAATATATTTTCAAAGGACATTTGACTCCTCAAGTGGAATTAAGAATTTTGGTGTTCTAATTTACAGTTCTAAAGGAAAAGTACCACAACATCCAACTTCTGGGGGGATTTTACTTTTTCCAACCTACTTTAATGAGGTGGAAAGGTGTTGCTATAGGCTTGTTAAGAAACTGAAATCTCTAACATAAGAAAGAACGTGTTTGGTAGTAGGAACCCTGAGTTAGTGGACATTTGCTGAGCTTAAGGACTCCAGTCATGTTGAGTCAGATGCTGGTTTTGCGAGCTAAGTCCTAGATCTAAGTCTTAGATCACAAAACCAGCACCTGACTCAACATGACTGAAGTTCTCAAACCTCCTTTCAAGCCTACCAGGCCAGAGTGCTAGGCTGGGTAAGGCACACCAGTTTCTGTAGCCAACCAGCACATGAGGCAATAGCATCACATCCAACTGCCTTTAATTCCCCAGCCCAACCAGATATACCCATTTACAGTTGAGATGACTGGGGCAGCCGTGAACACAAGTCTGGAGTGGGACTGGAACTGCTATTCTGGAGCCATATGGAGCCATCACTCCTTTGACAGTGAACCCCTCTTTGCTTAGGACTGACCTCAGATATAAAGGGCAGCTGTATGTCCAGTTGAAGAAGCCCTGAAAGTTGAGAGAGGAAGTTTGGAACAGAGAGCATGCACTGCACTAGGAAGGTTTAGTCTGAACAGTTCTTCCACTGCAGGGCTACCATGTTTTTTCATATAGAAAACAAGATGCTTTAGAAAAAACAGCAATATGCACACTGCATCTAAGTCATCATTCCTTATAGCACTGGGTCAAGTTACCTCAGCACATTGAGCTACAGTGACCCAGGCTTAATTAGGGGCTAACTGTCACCCATATGCCATGCCAAAGCAGCTCAGGCTTGATGAAGCGGTCTATATAAGGACTGACCGTGGGCTGCAGAACTGCTGCCATACCACTCTATAGGCACTGCTTCATTCTTAAGGATGTGGTTGACACTACCATTGGGGTAGGGGAAATAGAAGCAGCAACGGCTGTGGGATGTGCATAACTTCAGAACTGGTGGCACGCTGCTCCGCTTCCCACAAACCTTGAAAAGTTGTGATGTTTTGGGAGCATCTGTAAAACTGAACTCTGCAGCACACGGGATGAAAGAGCATGTACATAACCTGCACAGGGTCCTCATATGCTGAACTCCTCTAATTTTGGACTTCCCACAACCATGGGAGGAGGCACAAAGCTTGACTCTAAAGGATTCATTAATAGTGTTATTTTTATAAGCCAACATAAATCATCCCAAATAATTATCAACGGATATTTAAATAAATGTGGGGCTTTGCAGGGAGAGGATGTGGGTCTCACCCTTACAACATCCTTGCTTTCCACTGGCTCTGTCCAAAGTAAGTCCCTTCCCTCTATTCCACTCTTAGGAGTTTCTTTGTAACTCTTTCCGCTTTAATAGTGTTAGTTGTACTGCCTCTTACATACAGTGCACAGTGAGCAAGCAGTCTCCTTCAGGGACCACTACCACTACCAAAGACTGCATGAAGAGACATGTTTATATCATGGAACTATAGCACAAGCTCAAGCACATTTTTCTTCCACTAGACAGGATCCAAGAAATTCAAGGCTGGCCCTAATGAACTCTAGTACTGCTTAAAAGCATCCAAAACTAATGTGGAAGTTCCCTTCCCAACCTACAAGCAGGCAAAAATGAGGAATGATTTTTCACAAGCTTTCCACATCTAGTCACTATAAATGACAAAAGTGTCCATGAAGTTATTTTTTTATTAAAAAGGATGCTGTTATAGGGCTATCTAGAGAATATTTATCTCAATGAAGAATAATGCATAATCTTGCATTCAAAAAACAAGGTTCTTAATTGCAAATGATCACAAAGCAAGAGTATTTTTACTCTGAGAAAAGGAAAAGTTTAAAAAGTATGTTTTCATCACTCTCCACGCTCTCTGTCATACCCCACTAGCATCTATCCCAGTACCGGCAAAGAGAGTTCAGCCTGCTTGCAGCAGCCCATCCCACAGAGTGACTGGGACAAAAAATGTAATGAAATCCACTAGAGCCTAAAAGACTAGTTCAGAGCATAACAGCAGCAGGATATGGGAAAGGCTTTCTATGAGTACTTCCAAAAGTTTTTGTAGTGGAAGATTTTTAGAGTCCAGGTTGTCCAGTCAAGAAGTTGTGTTTAAAAGAATTAAAAATATCACTAATACTTGAATTACAAACAGTAACAATGATAGCTTTTCAAAATTACTTCTGTATAATAGTGCCAAAGTAATCATTTGATGTAACATTTTCTTTCCTGTCCACATGTAAGATGCTACAAATTGTTGCATTAATTTGTATAGGAATGTAAAGCAGAGTTGTAACTATCTGACAAATAAGGAGTAACTAAAGCACAATACCTGCCAAATCTAAATATAAGTCATTGCCAGTAGCTAACGACCTGAGGCAAAACTAAGATCAGTTTAACACAACTATAGGACCAATAAGTTTCTTTGAGATTATGAATATCATCAACTATATATAACATTAATAGAGAATTAATATGTTTAAAAAATAGCAGTGATAACTGCTAGAAAAGCAGTCACTCTCTGACTGTTAACCAATCAGAAAGCAGGTCACATCTTGTTAGCTGTATCATGCATTAAACGTCATGAATTCTCCATGGTTTAGCTGACAATTCAGGCATGTGTGTTTTATTTTATGATAACCTCATGTCCCCTTAAAGAATTATGATACAACAAACAGATCCACCTTAAATTCCACCAAAATCCTTTACTATATCTCTTGACAAATTCACTGGACAGTTGCACTCTAGAGAAGGCCATTCATTCTACAAGATTTATACTTTGTTAAGTGTTTTCAGGGCATCCACAGTAAACTACTTTGGAAAAATTGCAGCACCAAACATGTGGGCTGCACAAACAAACACATGGGTACAGCTGCAGCTTGATTCAGTCTGCACACTTTTCACTCCAATAGCCTCAAAAGTATTGCTTCATTTCAATTGCAGGAGGCAGAATTGAATTTTAATTAAAAAGTACTAAAAGTATTTTTACTCTTCATTTTTTGAGGTGGCTGATCTCCATGCAGAATCCAATATGTATAAACCAGTAACATATTATACAAAGCACCTCAAACAGTGGATGGAGTTTACATTACAAGGTACTCTGACAGCTAGATAACAAAGTCATGGACTAATCCTTTCTCTTGCTATAAAAGCAACTGTTTTCTAAACACATGCACATATTTCTGTATGTATTTGTTATGAACATGTGTTCTTTAAGTGCAGCTCCAGAATAAGTTTTAAAAACTCTGCTTCTGGTTGCTCCTATCATTCATATTTAATTTTAATGACTCTGAAAAACAAATACAGGTCATGGTTCAGCTCCTTCTAAAGGAGGGACATTTCTGGATTAGTTTAGTGCAAATGATCAAGCAATACCTTATAATATTATAGCTGCAAATGCCATCAGGACAGATACTGAGCAAACAACACACTAAAGGAAAGGAAATTTCCCTCAGATTGGCATCATAATCAACCCTGAAGTGCTGTACTGTAATTTCAAGATTTCAGCTGGTATCTACTCAAAGAGTTGCTCTGCATGGAAATATAATGAGGGATTACCCAATTAAACTACTAAATTAATTAGGGTGTTTATTCCTCTATATATTGCACTGTCTAATGGGACGCTTCAGATGGAATTCAGCCTGAAACCTAGCACAGTCCATGCACAGTAAAACAAGGTTGAGGGACTTACCTCTGTACGAGACTGCAGCCTCTTGTTCATTTCATATATTCGGTACTCTGGTTGCACCATGTATGGTGTATGTCTCCTATAAAATGGGCCAAAAGGAGAAGAATAGAAAGGGTCATGTGGTGTGCTGGACATCTTGCCTGCTTGCAGAGAATCAAGCTACACAGAGTATCATCAACATCCATACAGAGCACATGGGCTGTGTGTTCCTCACAGTACAAAGTAGCAGCATGCGCGCACACACACGCGCACACACGCACACAGAGCGAACACACTGGCTGGGAACTGCTGTTGGAGCCCTCTATAGCAAGAGGGGGGGGGAGAGGGAGCGGGAGAGGGAGAGAGCATGAGAGAGAGTGAGAGAGAGAGGGAGAGAGCACAAGCTCCAGAGAGAGAGGGAGAGAGACTGGATAGCTTCAGGCACCACTGCTTGTTTTTAAAGAAGCAGTTTGTGAAGGGGTCATTTCCTGTCCACACTGTAGACTAGTTCAAAAATATAATTTTCCTCCCAGTCTGACAGGGGTCTAAGGTTTGGTTTTAATTTTTCCCAGCCAGGACCCCTTAGGAACCTGGCAGCCAGGCTTGTTAGCATATAGGTGGTTTAACTGCTGCCTGAGCCAATCACCCTCCAAGAAGAGCACACTTGTACAATATCAGAAATGTGATTACTACAAAACACATCAACACAGGCCACAACAATACCACGCATTCGGAGCCGGCGATTCACCTCTATGAGATGATTTCTTTCAGCAGAGATCTGGCAGTTCAAAGTGTTTGTGTTCATCTACAGTGGATTGAGCAGCCCATTAGACTTCTGCACATTTTTGTTTTTACATTTCAAATCAACAGTTAAAGGATTGTGAGAGGGTTTGGCTCTCTGTTTCATCAGGGACTAAAATCATTGTGGGTAGAGAATCTGCACAAAGAAATAATCTCAGGGCTTCACTTCACACAATGAGAACAGTCGAATGCAAATAACATAAATCCTCCCAGAAAAATATAAAAAGGAAAGAACTGGGCAGGCGGGGGTAGGGGGGGATTACAGAAAACAACTGGGAAAAATTCTTTTTTACCAACGATTATAATGAATAACGAACTCTAGATCTGCTAGAGCACTAGGCGTTATTGTCCAGGATTATGGAAGTAAATAAATCTTTCACCAGTTGTTATACATTATAAATGGAAGAAATGCAAATATACCCATTGGGGTTAAAAGTTAAGGGTGGAATATATCTGACTATGAAACTTAGGTGAAAGTCCTGGAACCTGTAGCATGCAGATTAGAAAGTGTTCAATGCAGAGAAAACCAGAACAGGTTAATCTGCTGTCTGAGACAGTGCAAGGCTTTAGAGAGAGGAGTCTTTAAATCATGTGTAAAAAAGGTCTTTTTCTGTACTTTTAAAGCATCACACATGTTTACAAGACTAACCGGTGCAAAAATAATAATAAATTGGGCTGAGTTCATCTCTGGTGTAAATTCATTCATGTTAGTAGATTACACAAGGGATAGATTTACCTAATTAATATGAGTAACAGGAATAGCATGAAGATTTTCATGGACTTTCTCATCCATACATCTCAGAATATTTTACAAAAGAGGTAAACCTTATCACCACCCCCTTCATGGATAGGGAAACCCAGGCAGCAGCAGTCAAGTTATGGCTGATTTAATGAAATGATCATGGGAAATATTTGAGTTTCCCATGGTTTCATATGGTACCATAAACTGGTTCTAGATTCACTAGAAATATAGTAAAATATAGCTCTATCTTCAAGATTCATAATGCAAATTTCACATTATTTATTATCAGCTGGGGTGGGAGGTTGAAACAGTAATTTATTTGATGCGTCAGTCATAATGTTTAGCAAAAGTTTTCCCATTCATTATTGAGCTGCTTCTATAAGGTGTCACATTTTGAACTGTTTTTGTGGACATCTCTCTGTTTCTGTCACCAAGCTGGCAGACACTACAGGGTGACAATCGACATTTTACTCCATTCTTTAATACTCACTAGCTATACATAAGCAGCTATGTTACATTGTTGCTTAAATATCATCCCCAGAAAGCACTGACGAACAGATACAGATTTGCATGAAGTCTGGCTTATTGATGCTTTAGCAAAAATGGCAAGACTGTGCAAACATTCAACAGGCATGGCACTAAGTGTAGTAACTCTATGAAGCAGGTGATTACATGAACGAGGGTTCAGAACACAGTTCTCTGCTATATTGTAAGAAATCCCAACCGCCTGATCTAGGGCCTGAAAAATGAAGAACACCGGCCGAAAAATATAGACCTAGCTCTACCAACATTCACATGCAAATTTATTTTTTTCACACACATCATATAATTTGCTTAACAAAACTCTTCTTAAGCAAACCCCCAGCTAACAAACTCAGCTGTATTTCCTCAGTGATTTCATATCGTGCTGGGCAACGAATACAGAATCTTCACCACATTCTGATCTGAAGGGTATTTAAATCCTGTATTCAGGAAAAGCCTTGTTTATACATACATGTTTCAGGTACTTCCCAAAATAGAATTACACTTTATTTGTAAAGTAAAAATTGAGCAAATAAATAAATAAATTAAATAAAGCCAATTCCAGAGAAAGTATGTTTTGCTTCCCAGGTTCAAACTTTTACACTGCTGGCAAAATGATCAATTTTCAGGAATTTTTCCTCAGTCCAAAAAAACACCACTTCACAATATACATTTTGTAGAAATATGGCCATTTTAAGCTTTACTTGTTTTTCAAAAAACAAAGAAACAAACATGAAAGATGAATTTGACTTTTTACTGGGTACCCACACATTAAATATTGTTTTTCTTCTAGTGAGTGAAGAGTCTGTGCAAGAGCACTACTGAGAGGAAGAAATGGGAAACGATGGTTTTAATGTTACTGGCAAAACTATAGAACAGCTACCAGGAAGATTTCAGGCCCAAGCTGGGTACTTTCTGGCCACAGCCAGAAGCCACGAGCCTTTCCAATGGATTGTTCTTATCCTGACAAACACCACATTTACAAGAGTAAATTAAAAAAAAAAGGAATAAAGGAAAAACAAAGTTACTGGGACTGTCAGTCACTTTCAGAGATGTACGTAGTCCCCTTGGGGCTCACTGTTTTAAAAACTTTACCTGCTCTACATGTGACTGACGGTTAAGGGGGTGCCCAGTTTGCCTTCCCTCCACGAATGGTTGCAAACCCACACGTAACTGAGATGAGGCACTAAGGGAGAGAAACTGCCTGGTCAAAATAAACCACTGCATCTGGAGAAGTGAGGATACAGCAAGATCCTAGAAGAGAGAGCACAGCAGGAGGCAAGAGTGAGAAACTGGTCACCCTTCCCAGTCCTGAGGAGGAAATAGCTCTGTCTCTAGAAATGTCTGGGGAAGAGAGTGGAGTGCATCCAGGATTGGGAATGCATATGATGTTGTGGGTGGGCTTGCCCACAGATGATTTTGTGAAGGAGGCTCCAACCCGGAGATGAGAGCCTCCTTCACTTTTGAAGAGCTCAGAAAAGAGAAGCCTTCTTACCCACGTTACCACATACTAATAGTTTAACAATATAAAGTGACCTCAGACAACTGCGTGTTTAAAATGCAGAAGTGTGACTGCTGAAATAATGTGAGCAAAGAAATCATAGCCCCGGGTTCGCTGGGGTAGACAATACATGCCCTGAAAGAAAATGGAATTGGGCAGAAGAAAAGAACTGCAAAAGAGAATAAACCGAGACAAAGAGAAAGTGCATTAACCACATGGATTTCAAACATGCAAAGGGGCCATGAGTTTTTAATGGTCTAGCTTGCCTGTATCATTACTACTGCCATCTGCTGGATGGAATCAGAACTGCTCTGGTCTGTATGGCAGATTTTATCCTGCTGATAACTGAGACAGATCCCCCTTTCGCTCATGGAGTAGGCACTTGTGGTTTTGGACTATGGGGATCTCAGTTCTATCCCTAACTGCTAACTATAACATCCATGTGTGTAAAGAGTAAAGATTTGTTACAATATAAAGGTAACTCCACCTGCCAAGAAGAATGATTGTAGACCTTCCTTTGGGACAAAAACAGGGGGAATAGGAACAGTTCATTCATCTGTCCCTGCAGTTTGTACACTCACACGTGGTCTTTTGCTGCCTTCTGGTTGCTGCTATTATTAGAAGCCTGGGGGAGTTATGTTTCTACCCTGCCAGTTGCTGAGCATGTCCCTGCTCACTAACCTCATGGATTCCAGACTGCACTGAGAGAGAAGCTCTTCTCCACTATACACAGACACACCTTCCATACCACAACTACTTTTATTAAGTATTATTCATAGTTATGTCATGTAGCACTGTGAAGGGTGCCATACACAGTCGTGAAGTGCTGACAACCTGAGTAGGTCTAAAGATTATACTGTTTTTTAAACAACTATTGTAATTACTCAGGGAAGTGACAGAGTTATAATGAATAAGTATAATTATTGGTTTATATGCACTTTGTATTAGTGGAATGGTTAGTTCATATTATGACAGAACAATACGGGCATGTTTAAAGTGTTTTTTAGCTGTTGGGAATGGAGGAAGGGGGAAAAAGGCTGTCTGTGTAGTTAAGGATGTATAGCAAACAAATAAAGTATAACTAGAGGGAGCTGAAAGCAGAGGTCTTGAGAATATATTCACATAAATATGAATTAATATATAAGACTGAATGAAAATGACCTGCTCAAAATGTCTCTTTTTTATATTAAGGTTTCAGTTTTCTAGGGAAGAACAAAAACAACAGTGAATGATTATTTGATTAAATAAATACCAGCTGCAGGCCCAAAACAAGTTTACTGTGAACATTCATAGTCACAAAATGAAGTTTGCTCTGTGGCTAAATGAAATTGGTTAAAATCTAAGAAGTCTGTAAAAGTTAGGACATCCATACAGAAAACACAAACAGAATCCTGTGACAGTCAGTAGTAGACATAATAGTACACATAGAACACGTCTACACATGGCCGTACTGTGCCGTTGTTACTGTGCCATCATTAGTACTTCCTTTTGGAAGTACTAAAAGGATTGTAAACTCTGAAACCTTTTAGTACGTTGGAAGTACTAAAAGATGGCACAGTCACACCCTATACTGCGCTGTGCTGGCCATGCATGGTTATTTTTGGTTGCTACATCACCGTAGCAATGCAGTATAATGAAGGAGCACATTGCTATGGTGACATAGTAGTGGCATCATGGTGTTTGTCAACAGACACTACGGCACTGTAGCACATTGCTATGGCACTGTAGCATCCTGTGTAGACACACCCATAGTCTCACACTGCGAAGACTGAATTTTAAATACATTTCAATACCACATTTCAGTTCCCATCAGCTTCTACTCTCATCAGGCTTTATAAATGCACAGTTCAAAAGGATAGATTA